GGACCCGAGCTCCCGCCGCAGCCGCCGCCCGGCCCGGGGCCCGGGAACGCCACCTGGGCGGGATCCGGAGCGGCGGCGGGCGGCGGCGGCGGTCCCAGCAGCAGCGGCAACGCCCTGGTGACCCGCATCTCCAGCCTGCTCCGCGACCTGCCCACCCTGAAGGCGGCCGTGATCGTGGCGTGCGCCTTCATCGCCCTCCTCATCGCCTGCCTGGTGCTGCGCGTCTTCAGGTGGGTCCGCCGCCCCTTTCCAACCCCCGCGGGCCAACCTGCGCCGCCAACCTGCTGTCACCGCCCGCCCGCCGCACCTGCGCGCAGGGATGCTCCGGCCTGGCGCCTGGGTGCGCTCAGACTAGCCTGAGTCTCCTGGCCTTGCCCCGCAGGGCGGCGCTCGGCCGGTTTCCCTGCTATACACACTCTAGGAATTTTCTCGCCTTTGAACGATATAATATAAATTCCTTTTAACTCTTCGGTAATGCTTCACACTAACACTAGCGCTCCGAATTCTGACATCCTACACGGAATTTACGTTTATACCTATTTCATAGATGAGGAAGAATTTTCCAGAGAGGCAAGGGGACTTATCCAAGTGAACTCAGTGGTGGAAGTAGGGTTTGAATCCAGGTCCATCTGACTTTAACCTTACCCACCTTACTACTTCTCCCTCTGAGGGCACCTGCTCCCCCTGCCTTTTTTTTTTCTCCTTTCGTTGGTTCTGCTACCAAAAGAAGCAGTGTCTAGCGTGTGGGGATGCCCCCGGGGAAACCTGTTGGAGGCAGCTTTGCGCCAAGGTTTGGAGCTGGGCTCCAGAATGCTTGGTGACCTTTGGTGGCCTCAGGGAATTTCTGCCTACACCCCTGTCTGAATGAACGGCTACAATGAAGATTTACAGGGTCATGAGGCATCTTGGAGAGGCTTTTGTAGGTTGCTCAAGTTCAGGGAGAAAGTGGGAAGGTAGGAAGGATGGCAGGGGTTCCTGGAGTAGTGAGATGGAAGGGCTACATCCCTGGGCAGGTAGGACATTATCACCAACATCTGGGAAATTCTGGTTTTGCAGGAAAAGAACCAAATGTGCCCTGTTACTCAGGCAGGCCGCTGGGAAATCTGGGCGTGTGTGTGTGTGTGTGTGTGTGTAAATTACTCACAGCCAGTTCCCTCCCCTTTCAAGTGTACATAGTGTGCTTGAGTGTTTGATCAGCTGTTGGAGGTTTGAGGCCAGAGGCTTGCTCTCTCCAGGGAAGCATTTGCAGAGCAGGAGCAGAAACTAGATCTGGAAAGGCAGGATGGGGAGCTGTCCCTTGAGCTTTGCTGTTGGTTGCTGTGTGACTTTGAGTCAAGGTGTTTCTTTGTGGATCTACAGGATGAAATGTCAGTGGTCCTGAGAAAATGGAGAAGGGGGACCTGTGGGCCCACATCCACCCCACCATCCCCTGTCCCGGCTCAGGCCACATTGTTCTTCACTGAGCTGGTCCCTGATGTGCAGCAGGCATTGAACTGACCTCTTTCTACCCCATCCTTCCCACCACCCTCCATCCTCCGCTACCAAACTTCCATGGCTCCTGGAAGCTGCTATCTGGATGTGGCATTCAGAACCCTTGCAAACTGGCCCGAGTGCCCCTTGTGGACATTAGCCAGCCCTTCCGAGCCTCCCCTCTGTCGCTTCCCTCCTAACACTCCACACAACTGGCGTGTGCTTTCCTGCTCCGGGGCCAGTTCCCTCCGCACACTCGCCGTGACTGCCTGCAGCCCCAGGGCCCCGCTCCCACACTCCTTCCTCTGGGTAGTTCTCCCGGACATCCGAGCCAGGCTGTTGCGTCCTCTTCTGGCCTCCCCCAGCCCCAGCCTCGTGCATCCTCTGTGCAGCTGGGCTTCCGGGTGTGATGCCCAGCGCTTACGCCCAGCAGGCAGTCCTGGAGGGTGGGGGTGTCGGGTCCCTGTGCCCGACGCCGGCCTGGCATTCAGTGGGTGCGCCGCAGTCCTCTGCTGACTTCCTGATGGTTCACTCGGAGTGAACATTGATGCCCAGAGCAGCTCTGAGCCTGGAGGTTTGAAACATTTCGCTCAAAATAGGCCACCAAGCCCACAAGGCGGTGTACTGTTTAAGAAGGTATTTGAACTATTTTGCCAGTCTGCTCCTTATTATCCAGGAGTTGGGGAGAAAAGCAAGCAGCGTGGGGCCAGATGCAAGGGTACTGAGCTGTGTGTTTGAGCAGCAGGGCCAGCGCTTGGGACTGGAAAGGATGGGTCCTTGCTGGCCTTGTGAGCCGTGTTGAGAGAAGGTTTGACTCCTTAGGAGAAGCCGGTTATGGACGTGATCTGCCGTTTTTCCCCAGCAGGGTGTTCTGATTGGGGCGAGTTTGCAGGTCAACAGCTGCCACCCTGGGTTCTGATGTGGACAGGAACTTACAGCATTTTACAGCTGGGAAGGGCCTGGGTGGTACACAGCCCCCATGTGCTCCTTTGCAGAGGAGAAGGTTGTATCCCAGGGAGTGGAGTAAGTCATCCAGTGGATTCTGTAACACTCCCAAGTCTGTGGCCGAGGTAGGGCCAGAGCCCCATCTCTGCCCTGTGGTCTGTACTGCGGCCTTTCCACAGTCCTCTGAAGGCTTCCTGAGGGCCCGCTGCCCTGGCTGGACGTTCTCCCCACCTGCTCCCTCTCCTAGCACGCAGTCACCACGTCCTGGCCGTTCTGCCCTGAGAAGTCTCCCCGAGACCATCTCACCTGTACCACCCCCCTCCCCCACGGAAGTTTCCCCACCTGCCAGCGCTTCATCCTGGCTTGCCTCCCTCCCTTGTCTCCAGAACCACAGCATCTCCTTCACAATGGCGTTCCTGCCACCAGCCTTGTCCCTGCTCCGTCCATCTTCCCTCTTCTGGTCTCATCCTCTTACTGCCCACTCAACCCTCCCAATTACAGGCTCCTTAGCTTTTCATGACCAGGGCCCTGCCTCCCTCTTGAGCCCCCATCTCGACTCTCCCCATCACCCCATCCCTGCTGGACCTGCAGGCATTCTCCAGAGGCAGCCTGTGGTGTTGGCGCTGCATGTCACTCTGACCCTCTGCCTGGCGTCCCCTCTGCCACCAAGACTATCTGACCAGCCCATTGCTGTTTGCCCGCCTGTGTTCTCTGAGAAGTCTCCCAGCCAGGCCCCGTCTCCCCTAATGCTCCCAGAGCTCACTCAAGGTTTGAAGTTTCTACTTGGAGTTAAGAGGGTCGCTGAACATGCCAGGTAGAGGGCTCCCCGAGGGCAGGGCTTGTCCTTTGTCATTTGTGTCTCTCTAACACCTACCGGGGCTCCAAGCACAGGCTGGCATCTAATGAAGATACCCTGAGCAAATAAATGTTGAGTTCCTAAGGATTTTACCTTCCTGATGCTTCTCAAAATGTCCTTGTTAACTAGACGTAGGACTGACGCTGGGGATCTGTGAGGTAGGGACCTATTTGGATAGTGGCCCTCTGTTTCCTTAACGATGGATACAGAGAAGAGAGGAAGGAAAGGGAGGAAGGATGTCGTAAGTGTTATTCCTTATTAATAACGCTTGCCCAGTTGTCTGTTTTCCCTGAAGGAGTCACTTTGCCAGACAGCAGAAAAAATGTGGATGCTAGGAAACTGTTCAAATAGGAGCAAAGAATGTGTATAGTGGTGAAAAAAATATATATACCTTTGGTAAGCCACTCCATTTCTAAGGCATACACATTTTTCACTGCGATACCTATTCTTTGCTTCTGACTTTATGCAGTAGAAGAGGAAGCAAAGATGCATGAGCAGTGAAGTCCAGAGCGGTTCTGTTTGATAGTGAAAAGGTTTAAATAACCTCACGATCCAACAATCGGGCATTGGTTAAATACATTACGGTCATCCTGATGGTGCAGTACTGTGCAGCTGGTAAAAATGATGATGGTGGTGGTGGGGTGTGCATAGCTCAGTGGTAGAGTGTGTGCTTAGCATGTATAAGGTCCCAGGTTCAATCCCTGGTACCTCCATTAAAAATTTTTTGTTGAAAAGTGATGATGTTGGTACTGATTATATGTTGTTGAGTGGAACAGGTTACAAAACAGTTATGTGTAGCGTCAACTCATTTCAATAAATTACATGTATCTCTATATATGAATGTGCAAAGCAGTTTTTTTGTGTGTGCACATGTGTGACTGTGGGTGATTCTTATTTATTTATTGGTACTTACTCATTATTCATGATGTATTTCTACATTGTCTGAATTGCCTTACAATGGACATTTTTTCAGTTTCTCTTTCCCTGTCGGTACTCTCAGGTCCTTGCTGCATCCTTAGACGTGCCTTCCCGAGGACCTGTACAAGAGCGTCTGGGGTGCACACCTACGGGTGGGATGTTTAGGTCCCAGGGGTGCTCATACTTGGCTTCCTTGAGTTCGTACCGGTTTGTCCCCTCATCGGCAGTGCCTGTGTGTTCTCAGCTCCTCCCATCGTATCTGACACTTAGCATTATCTGACTTTCTAACGTTTTCCAACCAGATGGGTATAGCTGAGTATCTCTTTGCTTGCTTTTGCTGACCTCCAGTTCCTACTGAAGTTGAGCAGCTGTCTCTTCCCAGACTTATTAATCTATCTGATGTCCCCATCTGCGGAATCATTTACAGCTTTCTCATGTATTTTAATGATTAAGGAAAACTATTTTAGGACTGCAGACAAAATTGGAAGGAGGGAAAGGCAGTTTGGAGGCAGAGTGCCCACTAGCGAGGGTACCTTCATGCATGTGTGTGTGCGCGTGTGCATGTGTGTGTGTGTGCGCCATTCTGCCCAGCTCCCAATAGGGCTGTCCCCGCTGGGGTCTGTTGCTGGACGTGTTTGTGAGAGCTGGAAGGGAACGAACACAGAAGCTGTGTTTAGGAAGTAGAAAACTGCGCGTCCTCCAGTTTTTGGATGTTGGGAAGCACCTCACGGGGTTGTATGGATTCAGGGATGACACGTGTAAGCCAGTGGCTGTTGTTCTCAGTATCTTCTGTCCCATGTGCTCTCTGAGGTCTGACTTTACCCCTTGAGATCTGTGGGGAGTCTGACTTTGCTCTCTGGTGTCTCATGAACAAGGTGAAGGCAATTCGGAAACTCCCACCTGAAACTACAGCTTTCCTTTACTCCTGGGGAGCTGTTCCCCATCCTGGCAAATCTCCCAGCCTAACTGCCCAGGCCACATTTCTCCCAGATCTCTCTTGGCTGCATGCCCAGCTGCTTCTTTCAAAAGCTGTGTAAAAGC